CAACCAACTGGCGTGCTGCAACTGTCTGATACCCACATTGGAAAATGCTGAGATAAGGGCCTCTCGTGGATATTCAGGCCCGCCTTCACTTAGGGTGGGCACGAGGCTTCCTGGGGGGCCACAGTCCAGAACATGTGCATGTTGGCTAGGGCCCCATGAGGACACATTCCTCACACTCCGAAGAAACCATGAAAAACAAATTTGAAAAAACAAGGGTACGTGCTGATCTTTTCAGGGGGAAAAAATAAACAAATTACAACAAAACCTTTGCAATCACGAAATGAATTCTCATGGCCAAATGGTGCGTCTTTGTACCTTTGTTTCCCTTTCTTTTTCACTTTTGCTGAAACAGTGCTACTGGTAGTTCTGGTTAATCAGCGGTACAGGTCACCCAAATTAAAATGCGTTGGGGGAGCGGTGGTTTGAACCACCAGTACATGGCCCTCCTTGGATACGCACATGCGGAGATACCACGGATGACGAAGATGGCGATGAGGGAGAAGACGAAGATCGCGATAGCGAAGTCCAAAAACAGTCTACCTGCCGAATGTCCAATCAATGTCTGCCGCAAAAAAATGTCGAATCAGATCCTGGGCTTCATAGCCCAACATAACCTATGCCTGTATGTCGCATACTGCGTAGCCACACGGGCCCTGCAGGGCCCGTCCCGCACTTTCAGCCTAAAAGCCTAAAACTTAGGGCTTGCAGGCCCTGGTCGTTTCAACCTGAAAGCTGAAATACGAGGGCCTGTAGGCCCTATTCCGTTTCAGCCTATTTTTGGGCCTTTCAGGCCCAGAGGCTTTTCAGCCTGAAACGGAGGGCCAGTTTCAGGCCCTCATTGTGTTCGACCTACCTAAGACTCAGGCACGGAAACAGGGGTTCGGGAACAGGCCAGAAATAGCCTGTTCCCCACGCCAGCTCAAGCAGGAGCTGCAGCTGCAGCCCCTGCCTCCCTTCGGCATTGGCAAGAGCAGCCTCCTGGACTGCTCGCCTGCAGTCAGGAGGCACACCCGGTAGTACATAGGATTGTCCCATGCATAGGATTGTCCCATGCACTTCACGGGTAGGTAGTTGTCAGTAGGCACGAGTAGTCTTCAGGATTCGGCCGCAGCACTCAGGAGGAGCGCTGCAGTAGTCTTCAGCGCTAGGCAGTAGTATTAGCGCTAGTAGTAGTCTTCGGCGCTGGGCGCCCATAGCCATAGCTGTAGTCTTCAGCGCTGGGCGCTAT